TATTTAACCATGGTCCAAAAGTGTTCCTAATAAGCGGTTTATACTATATTTCTGTTCACTATAACCAAAAACCAGAATAAGCGACGAAAAACGCATTCATAACGAATGTGTTTTTGGTTCCTAGCATTTCTGAGCACTATTCAATGGCTGATTTTTATAACTTACTATAATGACAACCACTGTACATTAATATCATCTAAATATTTTTTTCATAGTGAACAAATGATTATGATAATACTGATAAACGCATCTTATTGTTCTGCATTTTCGATTTTCATTTAAAATAATTACACATATTTTCGATCAAATATGTGTAAAAATATACATTTTACCAAAATCAAAAAGTTGATGAGCTCATGGTCATATTTTTGCGTTTGCATAAATAACTCAATTCTTAAGAACGATTGAAAACTTATGTTATAATATTACCATGGTAAGAGCTGTATGTTAAAATATTGTTTTAATATTAAACTCGTAAAAAAATATGTTTGTAAACCTTTGAATTTTAATATTGTAAAAAGTATGTTTATTCTTTGTTTTACAATTTTTTACATTGTATAAGTTTTATAAAAGGATATATTTATTATTATTATTATTTTTTTTTGAATTAAAAATTCTAAAATAAAATAAAATATATATATATATATATATATATATATATATATATATATAATAAGTAAAATTAAATGCTAAACCACTAATATGTTCATTATAAATAACATTTATAAGTTAAGATGTGCAAAGTGGAATAGATTCAGTAAAGCATTACTGCGATAGTTTAAATCTTAAAATTTAAATACTTATAAATAATTAACTATTGTTTCGATTTTCGATTTTTTACATTGGACTTTTGTCGAAATTTGGTAGACATCAAACAATAAATATATAATTAGATCAAAAATATCTTTGTTTTGATTATAATAATATATTAGATAATATTTTAAAAATCGTTATGATTTTTTCTCTGATATATGATTATTTAAGTAAAAATATTTTTCTACATGTTTTAATATTTTTTATCAACTGATTTTATGAATTCGTAATTCTTTCTAATAAAGAGTTAATTCAGATTATTTTATTAGAAACTTCAACTGATAGAGAGCAATGTGAGCATTTTCAAAATCGAATCGTATTTTAAATCAAACCAAACGTTATGATCTATAGAGAGAACTAAAACAATATTAAAATCATACAGTTTTTGTATATCATTCTACAGCTAGATAGCGTTAGACAGAATACGAAAAAATGTACTCGTTGAACTCAGAAATAATAAAAATATATCCATAATATTACTGTTATAGTTATTTAACACTGAAGGCAGTCGGTGTACTTGCAGTTGCAGTTACTTATTTTCACTATTGTACTTATAATTTAAAAACAACAGCTTTATTGAAGGATATACATTTTTCCATTACCAGTTGTTTTGTTTTTGAAAATAAAAACAGTTTTTATTCTGATCTAACAAACTATACAAATTGTATCGAGTCGTACAAGTTGATATGTTATATTATTAATCGAAGCTTTATATTGATTTTAACATGAATGTCAAAGTGTTTACTATATTTTGTAATTGTATATAACAGGGATACCTGGAGGATACGTTTTACTATGATGAATTAAATGAGCATTATTATTACAATAGTGGTACAAACTGATTAATTTGGCGTATCAATCTGCATTCCGAGGAAGCATTGTAAACAACTACACTCAATTATTATTTTAGGGTAGCTTGATTATATGTGTATTATTTCACAATGCACATATAATTTAACAACTGTCGATATTAACGAAGGAAACAGTTATAATAATAAGCCAGTTCGATGTTTTTTTTTCGTGTTTTTTTCATGCAATTATTCAATTTACGAACATGGTTGATTTGATAAAAATATTGTTTTATCACTTACTCCGAACTTTTTAAATGAATGAATGTAAACGTTGTAGTGAATCAATCAAGATGTATGCTGACCAGTGGCGCCGAACACGAGTATGTTTTAAATGAACAAATTATTTATAAATAATATTTAGACAACCAGGAATTAGATTGAATGAACATCAAATAAATAACATAAGGTATTTAAAATAGCAGTACAAATTTTATTCAATTTCAATTAAACTGGTGTAATCACAGTAATACCACTTGCAGTTAAACCACACGATGCGTTAGTATATTAAGACATAAATTTGTACTAAAGGACTTCGAACCGAAATAATATAACATTATTGGGAAGGAAAACAACATTTTAAAATCTTAATAAATATGGCTTATTTATAACTAGATAAAATATAAGGACATATTATTAACAAAAACTCACTACACCAGTTATAAACTAAAACACACTACGCTGTTTACATAATTGTTACTAAGATGAAGAAGTTAAGCACTTTGATAAGATTTATTGTCACTAGGATATACTTTTGAAAAAAAAAAAGTAAATTATGGACACAGTTTGGAAATATCTATTAGGTGAAGAAGTACATTATATGTATCATAAATTTATTCTATAAAATAAACTTTAAATTAATCAGGATCAAAAACTTAAATATATTAATTTTCATATTGATTTTTTAGTACATATTCTACATAATTATTGTGTATATTATTTTCTCTGGCATTATTTCAAAATACTAACTTTATAAGAGTATGATTTATTTAAAATTATTTAAATGAAAAATAAACAATTAACTAGATATAATAATACATATTTGGATACATTTCATAATGTATAACGATTTAGATAAATTCATAATTGTTATGTATAATTTTTTGTAATTTTTAATACCTATGTTATGTTTTCATGTTCATTGACATTGAAAGTTGCAACAATTAATAATTAAATTGTCTAGATTTGATAATACAGCCAATAAATATTATATATTTTTCTTAAATATTATTGAATTCACCTAATTTATTTTTTTTTCATTTAATATAAATATGTAATAATATATTTGACTATATGTATAAATATTAATTTTAAATAATAATAAAAGTACAAACTCTTCAGATTAACATATTATTTAAAATTTTACATTAAGAAAAAAATATATATATATAAAAAGTAGAATCAAATCGTATTTTTTAATTTATAATATACGAAAACTCTACATCGTACATTATGTTTTCTTAAACACCTTAAAAATATTATTTTAGGAAGAATAAACAATAGGAATTTTTTTTTTTTTTTTTTGATTTCTCATTTTATTTATAAATTCAGACTAACTTGCTTTATTATAAAATGTTACTATTGATTAATGATGGGAATAATCCGGTTTCGCTGAAGTTTGAAAATCCGGATTTTTGAAGTTCAAAATCCGAAATTCGGATTTACTGTAAGCCCGAATTTTGGATTCTAAAATCCGGATTTTGCATTACATCCAGATTTCGAATTTGAAAACATTGAATTAGTATTTTTATTAATAGTTAAACTTTCTCGAAATTAAATGATATTTTGACCTAAACTAATTAAGAATCTCATATACAAGTTTTTGTGTAATATTAAATATATAAGTCGGATATCATAAAATAAATTTTAGTTATTATTAGTTGTATCTCCAAAAATAATGGTACGTAAGACTTGAAGTGTTTACCAATTATTAAGATATCTTATATAGACCATCATCATCTTGTCTGAGAATTAAAATAACGACTAAAAAGTGGTGTAATAAAAGTTATATAATTAGAATACAGAAATTTGCAATGATAAACCCAAATCTCAGATTTTTAAATTAAAAAATCTGGATTTGGCATATTTTTGAAGAATCCGGATTTGATTCCCATCACTACTATTGATACAATTAGAAGATTTCGGGCATAACGTATATACAAACAAATGTATAAAAGCGTTTAGATTAGGTTATTGCAATACAGCAAAAAAAATTAAATATTATGAGTATAAATTTAAAAAATGAAATGTATAGCCATTTATAACAATATTCTATAATATTTGTGTTTTAGCACTAATTAATAGATCCGATTATTATAAATATGATATTTTCTTTCCATTAGCGAATTTTAATATTTTTTATTATGTAAAGCAATTTTATTTCATAAAATATTAAAACGATTCAGGAAAGTATGGAAGCTCTAAAACATTCTAATACAGAAGTCGTGTAAAAAACATTAATACATAATAACAGAGAACTTATTAAATCATTTAACATAAAGTCATAAAAAATGGATACCTGTGATGACGCAATATGGGTTTTTGTTTGCACATTCCATGGAATATAATAATATGTAATAATGCAATAATATACAAATGATGAATTGTCGGTAACATGTAACGAAATATAAGTCATTGTATTTGTATTATTACTATTTTGTAGATAGGTAAAAGAAAAACGTAATATTATAATTGTATTATCTATGCATATCGCTTACTGCAATCATTAGAAACTGTTTTCGGATTTAAGAATTAAAACTAACGATAAACGATAGTAATAATAAAAAAAAATTATGAATAATAGTTATGTAAATTAGGTAGATCACAGGTTTAGCTAATTATGCATGATATAGTATTTGGAATTATTGTAATATTATCACAAGCAATAATTTGGGAGGAGAAATATTAACGAAGAAAACCTGATGGAATAATACTATTATATGTCATAGAGAGCCGTTTGGTAATCACAAAATATAAAATTTTATTTTGATGAGTGGACATTAGTTTAGAACAAACACTAACACTATTATTGTATATAAATAAAAAAATAAATGTATTGTACGGTTAAAAAGTCGAGATAAAACGTTGACTTTTCCCCGTTAATATGGCATCTGCTTAAGGCTTATATTTTAAATGTTCAATTATAAAAATCATCACACAAACATTCACAATTATTTTGATCGCGACAATAATATGTATTATTTTACAAAAATAAAATTGTAAAAGTAGTATTATATTATAATGTTATTGATCGTAAAATATTAATATTTCATAATCAATAACGGTAATAGTAAATAAATAAAACAAAATTAAAAAAAAAAAAAAAAAAAAAATGAACACATTATTTAACAATAATAATAATAATAATTACGATAGTAAAAATATAAAATAACTGATTAAATCCAAAACATTATGTACCTAACAGCTAGTATGTATATTATAATAATCGTAATAATAATATAGAATCGTGCGTATTTTGAATAATTCAACATTATTGTTTAAATACGATTGGGTTACACCGAGGCCTCGTCGATGACCGTGATCATCCTGCTGTTAGGGCCGGCCACCAGTCGCCACTTGCCGCCCCTGGGCGTATCTTCTTCCGCTTGCTTGGCCAGTGACCACCGTCTGCCTTTCCTGTCCATAATGACCGGCATCTCGGCGATCAGGTTGTTCTCAAACTCGCTGAGCATCAGGTAGTTCTCCACTTTGTTGCACGACGTAATGCAATCGCCGATGTAGTCGAGGTCGTCGAGCAGGTTGTCTGGTAAGTCCATGTCCGCGATACCCTCTTCGGAGATGCACGTCAGCTCGGGTTTGTCATTTGGCCCGCCACTGCCACCACTGCCCATGGTCCCGCCGCCGCCCCCACCACCGGCACCGACACCACCACCACTGCTCAAGAACCCGCCGCCGCCGACACCACCGCTGCCACTACCGTTGCTGCCGCCACCGATCAGTCCGACGGCCTGCGGGTTCAGCGGCGGTTCCATGACCACCACTTCCTCGGGCTCGACGGTGAACGACAGCTTCCGCCGCTGAGGGCACGAGTCGGACACGCACAGCTTCTTGGTACCAGACTCGTTGTGCTTGTGCCGGGCCACGTTCCGCCGGTGCAGGTCGATAAAGAACATGGTCAGACTGCCGAGCAACACGCACGCCGAACTGAAGTAATAGCCGGACTTGGTGCCGTAACCGACGTTAATGTAACCTGCGAAAGTTTCGTGAAATTCAATCGTTAAAACGTAATTGCACGAATGCGATAGCATTTTTTTTTTTTTTTTTTCTACAATTGCTGTTGTTCGTTTCTGTCGCGATTATCGGCCGACGAACCGCAACGGCCGCTCGAAAACGTCGCACGCGATCGTCGCGTGAAAACACTCGTTATAACGAGCCGTGCCGCGGTGGAAAAACATGAACACGTTTTACGACTTCCGAACCGCACCGGACTGGACCGGAATGCGTGTTTCGGACGTGTGTTTTAACGGTACGTTATTATCGCTTTGGCGAGCCGACGCGGACATATTATGACGCGTACCGGGTGTTTCTACCGCGATTAGATCGGGAGCGCGACGTGTTCTCGAGAAACCCGACTTGGCGGTCGTTAAATCTTTACGACCCGTCCGGGTTTTGCGCAGAAGTTAACGTTAACACGCGAACGGAACGTCCTCGACCGGCGAAGAACAACGAGGTCGGGACGTCGGAGGTCTCGCATTACGACCGGCCGAGTCGCGGGGGTCGTTGTGACGACGCGGGACGCGCTCGTTGTCGTACTCACCAGAAATGGGCACGCCCAGGGCGATGGGTATGGCCTGCGAGCACTGGACGAAGCCCCAGGTGCGCGCAAAGTTCCGGGCCCGGACCCGCTCGTACGTGTACATCTTCAGCGAGTAATTGTACCCGCCGCAGAACACGCCGTACACCCAGGCGAACATGACGTAGCCCTGCCGGTGGCCGTGGACCGTGGTCAGCGCCAGTATGGACACGCCGCACATGAACACGGACGCCTGGCACAGGTACTGGCGCGCGATCCGGCACTCCACCGAGTTCCGGACCACGATCAGCCCGAACGCCACGCATCCCACCGTCCACGCCAGGCCCATGTGCACCTGCAGTGTCAGTGCCGAATCGCCGAGGCCGTCTTCCTCCGCTTGGTGCGCCTGCGCAGAACGATCACGCGTTTAACGGGGATGCTGGTTAAACGTTTTTTTTTTTCTTTTCGTTCACGTAAGAGTTACGTTTCGAACGCGTTCGTTGCCAAGGTAGTTTTATGGAAGACGTGGTGTGCGCATTCGATGATCGTAAGATTACACCGAAAGCCACCTTCCCCTTTCCACCCCCAGGAATAAACCATAAAAATCGTCTCCGGCCACGCGGACGCCACGATCGCGCAGACGATTGTCCCGGAACGGTCGTGACGTCCGCGCACGTGCCCGGAGGTCGGATCCACGTAGAATCGTAATCGTTCGGAAATTACGGTGCCGCGATTCAGGGACACGTATTTACTTATATTTCTTCCGCCAACAGTGCACCGTCATAGCCGTTTGAAAAAAAGTCGAAATTAAGAAGTTATTATTTTTCATACACCTACATATTTTCATCATAAATATTTTTTATAACATTTCCCACGTACAGTTAAGCTTTCGTTCGATAAATTCGATACACAATAGATACATATGGTGTATTATGTTCTACACATGAGCAGCATTTAGTGTACGAAAAATCAATATACATAATTATAAGTAAATGTGCTATATAAGGTTCGATTTTATGTACGTATTAGACGATATGCGCTTACGACTGATATTGTTCGGAATCCATTAAAAACGAAACGGTCACGAAATACTTAACGAGATTTATATGTTATATACACACATAAGTGACCGGCTCTATAAAGCGCTCGAGTGCTTTACTACTATGTGCGCCCGTCGTTTATATTACTCTACCGCTACAACTATCACATACTACTGTTACTATTATATGGTCTTGGATTAGTATTATTCCTCTCGAGAATTTATTTGTTCTTTTGAATTGTAATATTTTCTGAAAATAAAATTCCGGGATCAAGTTAATCATCAGGAGTACAGTGGCAACGCTGCTGTCACCGCTCCTGCTGAAATACATTTGAATCGTACTTTTCTAGCTATGCCGTACCGGGTTTTATACGATTTAATGACCGTTGTGTACAAACAAATTCGTTGTAAACTCGGAGTGGTATTTTGGAATCAAAAATTATTTTATGCATTCAAGACGCCAAGTCGTAAACCCAAACATGTAGATTTGGTGCTGTAAAAGACCATAAAGCAATTGTACAATAAATTCTTATACAATATAAGGATTTAGGCTCGATGAGTGCATTAAAAAAAAAAAAAAGTTCGGGGTATACTATACTTGATGATTAAGGAACACATTTTTCTTCATCACTGAACCAAACTTTTACGAATTATATATATAATAAACTGTTTCAAGTATATATCTTCGTGTTTGATTTATTCTATTCTAAATTTATTTACATCCATTGAAATCCACCTTCCAGATGCAGCATCATTTATTTATTTGATATGCTTTATACATATACAAGCGATCTCAGTTCGTTATTAAATTAAAACCGTGCAATTAAACATTTTAAAAGTTCTACATATCCTTTATTTTACATACATTATGTTTAGACCCTATTTTAATTTAGTACACTCACAGTAATTTAGAGAACTTTTCACAAAAGTTGTACAATTTAATAGTGTTAGACGTATTTTAATTAATTATTACATTTTTGTTATTCACAATTAAATATCAAAAACGTAACACCATTTTATTAAGACCATAATATAATACACTTTAGTATGCTTAATTATTGTGATACGAATACTTAAATATGGGTTCGAATTACATTAAATTATAAGTATTGAAAATAACCTCATCATCATGACGTACATTTTAACCCCAGTGTGATCAATACGAAAAAAACGAAAAATGAAAACATTAAGAAGTGTTCTTCACTTTAAACGTTTTTCAACGATTTCAAACATTTGTGTATGAGGTGATGTTACACACAAGTGGCGTGTAAGAAAACAAGATAAAAAATAAAAAATAAAAAAATACTCAAATAAACGAGTGGACCGTAAAAAAAAAAAATGGCAAACAAAAACACTCGATTTCACTATATATACTATATATATATATATATATATATATATATATATATATATATATGTACGTAGATTGTATAAAATTGATAACCACCATCATAGTCGAGTTGTTATTTAATGTTTTGTTGGTAGTCGCATAGTCTCTGTAAAAAGGAAACTTCAAATAACCAATGAAATATGATGACAATCGAGGAGCGTAACGTTGAAAAATTAAATTTTATTCCGATCGCATTTGGTATTCGAAAAAAGTTTATGAGTCCCAGAGATATTGATCTTCTTTTTTTTTGTCCCCCATCCAAAGTCGTTGGTATCGTTACCCGACACCCCCTTCCTCCAACCCACCCCAAGAGCGGTGTTACGATAGTATAATACCATAATAAAACCACGGTGGCATTACACATACGCTGGTAGCATAAACGATGACGACCACACTAATCTGTATATAACGTAACCGTGATATCTAATCGGTTCACGAGAGGACGTGTGCGATGATTATGATAATGATGATGATGATGATGATGATTATCAATATTAACCAGACGGGTAAGTCGAGGTGACAATCGTACGCGAATAACGCACATAGCGAGTCGTACACGATTTTATATGTGGGACATAACTGACCAGGTAAAATATCGGAGTGTTTATGCCGAAAGCGCTGATGCCGGTGGACACGAGCAGAATGCGAACGGTCTTGCTGCGGAGCGTAGTGAAGTCCAGGAACGGTGGCCGGTCGTCGTGCCGGTTTTTGTCCTTGATCTTGCGCTTCTGGTTCTTCAGGTGCAGGATGGCCCGTCTCTGCGGGTGGTACAATGACGCGGACCGGTAGCACGTGCCCAACAGGAATGTGGTGAACACGGTAGCGGTGACCAGTTGGAGCCCAAGTCGCCAGCCGATAGCGCTGAAACCCAAAAATTCACATGATAGTATAGATTCACGCACGGACATCCTCTGCGGGCTGTCGAGATCGCTCCCGGTTGCCTACGCTGCCGAGTACTACCATTGTGCACTGCACTCCCGTTAAAGTTTAAGTCTCGGGTCCCTTACGGGGTTCACGTTGTAATGACGTGCGCGGTGCGGTGACTTAACGTACCGCAGTCGCTTGGCGCTCATCGGTTGTGCCATACAAAAATAATGTTTTTAAAAACATCCAAGTTACAATAGTTATCAATCAATATTGACGGTCAGACAATCAGACAGTCCTACTGCACCGTCAGTATTCTTTTGTTTTGGGAGTTTGACTTTTGAGTTTTCAGTACGATTTCGTTTTTATCAAAGTCGAGAAGGATGTAATAAATTAACATTATTTTGAAAGATCAGTTACGGAAAAAAAATCATTCTTAGTGCCACGTCTTAGAAACATAGTCACCGAAAAACGAGAACGTCTAGCGAATTATGGTGCATTGTATTAGAAAAATAGATATTTCTCTCGCGAATCGTTGGTCAGTTCGAACGCTCGAAGTTTTCGTTTGGATTGAAATGAATAACAAACAGTGATTCGTTTCGTAACATGTTTGTTTTGGATCGTTTTACCACGGCGTAAATGTCGGCCAAAACCGGTGGTTGTTTTTTTTTCAATTTGAATTTAAAAAATGTCCGACTCGACAACAAGGGGGTGTGCGCGTTTATTTACCTTATGGCTCCTTTGATGAAACTAGACATGACGGCTATGCCCATGCCACTTCCGGACACGATGAATATCTCTACAAACTCGCGTTTGCGTTTGAAATACTGCGCCACCATCAGCGTGGAACAATCTCGGGTCATGCCAACGCCGATCCCTGAAAACAATGTTCAGAGTAATTAACATGGAACGCGGTCGAAAAACGCGCGGGGAGGGAAACCGTCGTAAGCTCTGCCGGATATAAACCTCGTCTCGCGTAGTTTATGATGTAAATTTTTGAATGTTTTACTACGTGAGCGAGCAGCACTTTTGCGTGTTAATAGTTCCACATACGCGCGAGCGGCTTAACCGTAACGGCGTTTCTACGCGCGGGCGAACGACAAACACCGACGACGGATTGATGTTCGGATATTAATTTACAGCAAAATATACAGTGTGGATTACGCGACGAAGCTTAAACAACGCGACATAAAATAATAGAATTGTACAACGGTGTTAAAATGGTGTTCAATAAAATACAGCCGCCCCGCAGACCCTATACTGTTGTAAAGTGCTGTGTTCCCGTTGCGAGATGCATGTAAAAATACGAGAAAATATTATGTCCGTGGTAAAAAATAAACGTTTTATGTAATATCGGGCACTTAAAAACGTAATCATAAAATATACATGTACTTTATTACACACCTACGTCACGATACCGTTTTTTATTCGTACTCGTACTGGGGTTTAACATAGAGGAAGCCGCCATAAAAAAATAAAAAAAAAATTTTCTGTGTACATCTTGTGTTATGTAAGCCTAAAATAATTTCACAACCGTTAAACGGAAAATTATTTTAGCACGTCCGTGAAAATAAAAGAGCCTTTTTGAAATTTATAGAGTGAAGTAAAAAGTATCGTAAAAAGTTGGACGTTCTAAAGTAAACATATGACCTTGTTGAATTGTTTTGAAAACTGTGTAAAAATGGTGCTATAAAGATTTACTTGCAGCGTTTTGTGTAGGTAAAACTTTTACTTGAACGCTTTCAGAGCCATTGTTTTTCAAAGTTCAATAACACTACATAAACGTTTACCGAAGTAGATTGAATAAATAAATAAGTACGGAAAACGATCGTCGGATAAAAGGTTCCTTGGTCATAATTGATAGTAAAATATCAAGGCAATTATTTAAATGTTCAATTTGAAATCAAAGAATTACCAATTCTTTTGAAATGTAAATTAAGTTGTGCATTGAATCAATACTTGATAGATACATTTTAATACGATTATTAAATTCAATTTATATGTTTTTAATGCATGTTATTTAGTTGTATAAAGAGTTTGTTTCATTTATAAGTATGATAATAGATTTTATTCGGTTTATTAAAAATATAACTATAAAACAGCTATTAATTATGTCACATTTTAACATAAGAATATTATAAAATATAATTAATTATTAGAATCACAACATATTATTGAAATTATAATTTGTTATAGAATGTATTATTAAGTTCTTAATTAAAAATCATTTTTGTTGAAATATTAAATTTAGCATTTTTACCATAATATAAACAAACCAATAGTAAGAGCGTAACAGGCACATAAGTAGGAACAATTTTTTTCTTATGGGGGGGGGGGGGTTTAAGCTTTTCAAAATTATTGGAGCTTATTTTTACGGCTTACCGTATATCTTAATTCATGGTTATTATAATACGATTTTTAGAGTTGATATCCTCCCTCCCTTAAATGTCTGAAGAGTAACCGGATCGATGAACTCACTAAACAAGCAGTTAATCATTAATATACTTATATTTGAACATTGTTAATAGTAATTCAGAATTGTACTCTAAAAAATAAAAATAATGCAATTTATGAACTTATAAAATGTACGTACAAACTATACTTGGTAAATTTTAAATAATATTAATAACTCTGACGAATAAAATTAACATTAATCATTTGAATATGCTTTCTCCTCATTTTAAATTTATACTTAAATTAACTCCATTTCCTATAATAATATATACTTACTATATAGAGCATATAGAGCTTATTGAACATTATAATATTAATGCAATTTAATATTACGTAAATGTTTCTAAGACTATATTTAGTACATTTGTAATAAAGTAATAATAATGATATATATATATATTACTGAATTTATTTTATTAACTTATATGATTACAGTATTATAAATTATAGAATTATAACCAAATATATTAAATCTCATATAAATATTTGAAAAAAATCGTCCAAGACTCGAAATCTAATAAAATTTAAATAGTATACAAAATATATTACTTTGGTTTAATAACAAAATAATTGACTTGTATACATTATGTTAAAAGCAAAACAAAACATTTTTGGCTGGATTTCTCATTCGACCTTAAATTCAACTATATAATAGCACCGTGTTTTTAAAACAGTAGTCATAACCAGGGTTGGCAAAAGTTCAAGCTTTAAAGTTTTTTCGTTCAAGAAGTTTTTAAAAAGTCAATTAATACAGGATTTTGGTGCACAGTATTATTATCTTCATCCTTTAAGTTTAAAAACAATTTATTCCCTCCTTTTATACAGTTTTGTGAGAGTTTAAATGAATAACTATAACATTAATATTGTATTTATATGTATATTTATATATATACGGTATGAAACTTGCATTATAAAATGAAAAATATATCTTGAAAAAAAAATTAATTAGTACATTACTCAATCATAAGAATTTGCTTTTCACATCTAATTTTTGATTAATTTTTTGAATGGTTTGAAACATTTTTTTTTTCTAAAAAAAAAAAAAAAAATGCGTTTTCTCGAAAAATTCAAATAGAACGTTTCAATTGCAATTTATATAACATATAAACATTATTTTTTGCCAGATAGTTAGGTTAGTTAATATGAAAGGGAAAATATTTTTTTACAAGTTCTGTTGAATTGTAATAATTTAAAATATAAAATAAAGTTTGTAAGAAAAACGTTATAACCACGATTTATACATATATTTTCGTCATTAATTAGTATAACTCACATTTTAATACCTATGTACCGCAAATATACCCCGGATCGTAGATTAATTATAAAAGTGGTAGGTCTCGATTTGACGTATAATAAATGATTTATGAATAATAATATTTTAGATTTATACAATGTTTTAAATTCAATGGTATTATTATGATTTTATTTCAACATGCGTTCGTGCTCGTATAACAATTAATTAATAATCATTGTCTATTTACTTAAAAACTTAATACATATTGTATTCATAAATATGTATACATTACTGGATAATAAACATATAAATAAATATCCTAGTAATAAATGTCTTTAATACAGGAACTTAGTGTTTTCCGGTTTGATATTTGATTGCAATTTAACACCCATGTGACCTAAATTCAAAGTTTTTCATTTACAATCTCTTTAAATTATATTCAGAAAATACTTTTGTCATGAGTTATTCATTTTGGGTTATTCGTTTTCACTATTGAATTATACTTACATTCGTAATATTATAATCTATTGAAAAAGCTTGTAACATTTACAAAGCTATCTGTTTTATTTTAAATAGTTTCTAACACAATAATGATCCTATAAAACTGTACAGAATTTGAGCATTTAAAAAATGCCTTTGTTTTAAAAGCTTTAGTTAAAAAAAATTATCTTGTTATAAGAGCACGAGACTGTGATTTATATTCAATTAAAAATAAACCTTTTCTATTGCATTAGTAATTCCGAATTTTTTAAATTTTAATATGCAACCGAAAATTAACATGAAACGTTTAAGAAAACGTACGAGTATAGTTTTAAATTAATATAATATATGTATAATTTTGAAGCAACCACAGTATCTTTTTGGTTTTAAACTGATATTTAATTTGATATTTAATAAATACGATGGAATAAAAGTTATATTCACTTAAGACAAACGATTTCCTGTGAAATGAACATTACTAATTATAACAAAAAGTAAGTTTTATTAAATTTTCATAACTTTTAATAATATTTTATAATTTACTTATAAAATAATTTTTACTTATTATTTATTTATAAAAATGTTTTACCCAATAATTTCATAATAAATTACGATAAATTATTTGATCCTAATATTTTTTTTTCTGAAAATCAATATTTTTTCAAATTTTAATTCAGTGTTTTAATGTATTCAAATGTTCTCAAATATATTCAATAATGTACAAATAGTTAATGGATGTCATAAACAAGAACAATGATTATCGCTTACATTTTTTCGTATTTTTTTTTTTTTTTATCCTAAGCGAAAAAGGGAGTTTATTGATTTTACAATGATATTTACTTTTCTATTAGCATTTTTAGGTTGAATAACTGGATTAAAAATTCCATGCAATATACCCCAATATCGGAAAATTATGTTGAATAGTACTTTAAAGTTTAAATAGATCATTTTTCGATTTACCTCCACAGATTTTCTGATAGGTAATAAAGAAATCGAGACAAAAAATGTAGTAATAATTTTCACTACTATAGCGTTTATATTTGTAATCATAAATAAGTAATATTGTCAGACTTTCAACACAAGTATATATACATATATTTTATCACGTAATAAAGTTAAATAGGATAAAGTCAATAAAAACTAAGAAAGTAAATAAATAAAGTATACCGATTTTTGTTCACAATAGTTTTTAGAATGCGATGATTTATCATTGTTTCAAATGTTTATAAATAATATGGTTATCGTGATACGAAACGAACCAAAACAGAGTCTCAGCCTGTTACCTAAACTTTATTTTAATACATTTTAATTAAAATTCATAAAATAAATAAATGTTTAATATATTATGTTAAAAACTATTTGGTTAGTATAAAAATATGTTAGCTATATTCAAGTAAACGAAACATGACCGTCTTACATTTAGAAAACTTTATTTACATTTATGTATATTTTAATATTATTTAATTTTACAGCAGTTTATTCAGTAAATATGTATTTTTACTTTTAATAACCATCCGATAAAAATATACTGTACTCAAGTGACCTATATACTACTATTTAAGTATTTATTAATTTATGTAAGGTCATAAATTATTTTTAAACTTAAAATGTAAATTTTTATTTCGGTATAAAGCATTTAAAGTTTGTATAATAATGCAAATTCAACCGGACTCACTTTATATAATATACCTGAAACTCGAAACTCTTTCTAAATAATTCTAATCTGTAAAGTAATTTCGTTAAAGATTTATTATCTTGGTTTTTTTTTTTTTTTTAACACTGCTGATTCTATTTCACATATTTTGATATAATTTCTCAAATAATAATTTTTTTTCCAACATAAAATATAATTAGTTTATTTTATTATTTTCTTTATTATCCGTATGAAATGATAATTACAATTTAAAGTTATCATTTATAAAAGAACATAAATAAAAATATAAAGTGTATTTGGTTATAACACTAAAAATGAAATGCCATTTTTTAAATTAATAATTATATAATTGTTATTCACTTATTAGTCAATTATTTAATTAAATTATGATAAATATAATATTTATAACATGGCTTTTTACTTGAATGTATAATTACTTGATTGGATTAATTTTATACCTCAATGCTCTGACAATAGAAAATTTAATTTATTATCCCGTTATTACAACGTTGAGATAAAAATGTATACAGCATTATTTAAATGTATTTAATGTCATTATTATACGATTTTCAAATAAATTATGTTAAATGCCTATGATGAGTATAAAAAAAAAGCATACTATTTATTTTAAGATAATTAAAATAAGATAAATGTAGGTATAGATAACGGTGTTTAGTGCTTGTGTCTACATTCCGTTCTTATATACTACAAAAATATTGGTATTTTATCTTGTCGGATCCTGAATCAAAAGCTTGAATAATATACTTCCGATGAAATAATGATACCTTTCTACACATTCTTTGAATGAGAACATTATTAATTGACTTGGTGTATATAATGTTAAGAATATTTTTTGAACAAATTATTTCAGTATGGATTTTCATCACAACATTAACCAGTTAAAAATTATGGCCATTTTATATTTTTTCTTCTAATAGTCCTTAATACTTTGTCACATCATCATCTTTCATTTATATCGTTTAAAACATCACATAATCCCCATGGCATATATAATCCAATAATTTACATAATATAATTCTGTGCGCTCTTCGTACGCAACGTAATTTAACAGATGTATTAAGTACTATATGAAATTCATTAATATGGTATCAAAAGTTAACGTATTGTAAATGAGTTAATGTTTTAATATATTCCATCATGGTGTGTAATAGAAAAAAAAACTTTTTGCAAATCGACGATAAGTCGAAGAAAAACATTATTTGCGTAATATATTTTGAATATATTAAAATATATATTAGGTGTCTGATATTTCAATATTTGGTATAAAAAAGTCCATTCACCAACATGATAAAAAATATATTTTTAAAGCGCTATATTTTTCTTCACACTATATTTTCCATTCAATTTTATTTTGCAATTTATTTTTATTTACTTTGTTGTACTGCCATTTTACCAAGGAGTGCTAAGTTCTATAAGTATATACCCACACGTTTTGGGCTATAATTATGTAAATACAACTTAAAATACAAATGAAAATTATTTTCAAACAAGTTATTTTTAAAATAAAATGCAGAAATTGTGTTTATTTACAATAGTTATTTTTTTTTTCACCAAGAACACTCAATTGTTTTTATAGTTTTTCTTAACTTTTAAATCTATTTTATTATAGTTAAAAAGTTTTAAATTTTTTTATTCGTGCAGTTCTATACTAACTGAAAAATTGAATTATCATATAATGTTCTCAGAGTTAAAAAAAATATATTAATAAAATAACAAACAATAAGTCGGTTGGTACAATATTAAAGAATGTTGAAAAACTAAACTATAGCTAGTACCTAACTCTAGCCTTACTGTACATAATAGAACTAAAAACATTTTGGTAAAAAATAATACTTGATATTTTTTTACATTCATTATACAAGTATACAAATTAAAAGACTTATAAAAAATTTTAAGTAATTATACAAAAGGAATTTATAAAATAACTTTTATGCCATTTATTCTTATCTAATGGAAGATTCGTTAGTAGACTCTAAATAATTATATATTATATAATATTATATTTATATATATATATATATATATATATATATTACATATTTCATTAATTTGGTTTAACCCTAATTATTATGAAATTGATTTTGAAAAATAATGTAATCAAATCACAAATGTATAGGTTTAGTTAATATCTATGAATGTGAATGGGTTTCAGTCTATTCTTTTTAATAATCATTATATAAAATGCATGTGTTACGTATTTTTAAAATAAAAATAAAAATATTTAAGTTGCGCATAAAAAATAAAAAGAATAACATTCATATTTCACGGTTTATTCTTGGTATTCAAATATAAAGAATATAATAGAAAAATAAAATGAACGTTCTGGGAATATTTGGTTTTTGTCTAGCATAAATAAAAGTTGGAGATAATACCAAGATTATGCTTACACACAATGGTCTATAAAAAAAAAACAAATATATAGCAAAATATAATATAAATACAATTGACTGTAAATATTATTTGAAACTTTTTTATTGATTATTAATTTTTTATACTTAAAATTAGTAAATTTTAAATTATCGTTGTAAAAGTTAGTATCGTGATTACCCATGAAAATCAACGGATCACAGTAAGATTTAGCTCTGATTTGTAATGCCTATACTTTTTAACAGCAAGTTTTTTTCTATTTTCTTATTAATAAGGTTGTGAAAATAATAGGTTTTTCAAGTTGTGACGAATTGATCAATCTTTTCAAGTTGATATAAGGATCAAGTAACATGTGATGAGATTTGAAAATATTGGAAAAATGATTATTTAAAGATTTAAAGATATTTAATTAAAGATGAAATATTAAAGATTTTTATTGAGTGAAGAAGGCTAGTAAAAAATTATATTTAGTTTTAACTAATATGATATTATAATTTTATTATTTCTAATGGAGATATGATAATTATACTACATCTGCTAAACATTTATTTTTTTGTAAAATATACATTATTATGTTATTTATATTGTCTCAAATACGCATCAGGGAAAAAAACCAATAATTTACAATCGAGTTACACTTTCTGCCACATACATACACGTTGGTTGTTGGTTAAAATCACTAAAATATTATATCATAGTTCGTCATTGATTATTCTTGAAGGACTCTTTACGCAGGTGACCAAATGCACATTATTATTTTCACTTTTAGTCCGAACACGACTTTAGCGCGTTTTACATTAATATATTATTGTGCACACGTATACTTCGTCGTCTGAGACATTTTACTGTGGTCGACTGCGCGTGTTTCCAAAAAGAAAATAAAGCCAACAGTTGTGTCATATTAAAGAACCAATTGAATTTTAGTCACGTCCCTACGACGCCACTGCACGCCTTCGTACGCCCGTCGCGTGACGAAATGGGCACATTTGATCCTTTGATTATTTTCATTATTACTATTAGTTTTTTTTCTTCTACATCAACTGCCATAGTCAGGTATAATAATAATAACAACAATAGTAATACTAATATATTTTTACGATTAAGTCTAGTGTTATTAACATCCGTCCCTCGTTATTTTAGCATACTTCCGAAATCCCGTTCTATACCAATCTTACAAAGTCATGTAGAATGTCTCACGGCATAGTTCAATATAAATTCTTTTAAATCTATAGCACATATTTCACATCGTAAGTGAAAGAATAATATATGCATTGTTTAAGCGACAGAATTCTGAATTAACACCAGCAGCAAGGTTGAATTTTTACTCTAAAGAATTATTTGCTATTTTTTTTTTTTTTTTTTTTTTTTTTATCTAAAAATATAAGTAAATCGTACGCAGAAGCAAATAAAAACGGAACACTCATTTGAATTAGTTCGATTTGTTCTAAGATATTCTTGAAAATAATTCGATTATCAAATAGATTTTCAACCGATATTGATTTTTTTTAATTTTTGTCGGTTTTGTTTGAGATAACGTCTCCGATCCCTGGTATTGCAATGCAAACGTTCGTGTAAAAATTAAGTAATGATTATCACTGGTAATAACGATGGCGAGAGGTTAGCTACAGTCACGCGCCAAATAAAAAACCAATTCTGAGTTTCGTTAATGTTTCGACGGCACGGCGACGTTTCGTTGTCCGCGTTCGTGAACGGGTAAAATGACGGAGAGGCACGACGTCTGGCGGTCGCCCTAATTACACACGCGAGGTGTAACGATATTAATAACACTGTGCATGCGTACCGATGACGGTGCCGTAGCTGAAGAACAATTGATGGAATTGAGTTGCGAAACTGGTGAAGAGACATCCCAGCGCGGTGATTAGGCCGCCCATGACGGCCGTCAGTCTTGTAGATTTCCGCCGGCAAAACGCTATCGTCACCGGCGACAGCAACAGCGCCACTCCCGTGGACATTGCTCCCAACCATCCTGCGCACAAACACACACACAATATCGTTATTATAATCGTCGGGACATTTACATATTTTTAAATGTATTATTATCATTATTATTATATGATTAAACGGTCCTGTACGCGCGTAGGTAGAGGTAATGTGTATGTATATACGGCCGCGAACCGGGCCCCGGTGTTAATCCCGTCGAAAGGATTTGTCCGGTACCACTCAGTTCTACGCAGGTATATTTAGGTATAATACGGTCGAAAGAGTAGTGCGGGTCGCGTTACGACCCGTTGTTAAATATTTTATAAACACCGCCGCCATCGTGGTGTTATCGATCTGGAAATCGGTGTATTATGTGACGGCGATATGATATGATGTCATGATGGAGACGTTCTGAAAGAAATCAAAGATAGAACCATGTGCACGAAAGAGTTACGAAGAGAGCGAGCGAGAGAGAGAAATAGGGACGGGTAGTAAAAGAGACAGAAAAATAAATGGATAGGAAAAAAAAGAGTGTGAGGTGGAAGGAAATGAGCTAACGATAGTTGTTCTCTAAAAATATTTTAATAACCCACCAACCGACCGTGACTATTATACCAGTAATGTTTAGTTTTCGACAACTATACGTTATTATATATATATATATATATATATATATATATATACACTTGTTCAACGGTGGCACAGAAAACAACCAGACAAATAAAAAAATAGGCCAATATTGCGTTTTTAATTCAAAATTGAATGGGATCGTATACCAAAGTGTACACATACTATTTAATTGCAGTGGATTAAATATCTAGTAAACAACAGAACTATATAATTATTACATGAACCGACATAGTTAAGATTATTCTAAATGTCAGGGCAATGATAATGCATCGGGATCGAAACATAAAAATCGATAAAAATAGAAATACCTGTTTTTGAAATTTGTCAGATATTATTTTTTAAGAAAATAATTAAAACATTGAAAAAAAATAGATTTCTAAATAAACATTAGCTAAGTTGAGCTCTATATTATAAATAAACCTAATAAATACATTTGATAATAGTACAAAATATATTATGCGAAACATTTCCAAGAATGATTCCCTATTAGTTTATAATTTAATTTTTTCTTTTTATTACATTATTTTGGTTTACTAAACTATTATATGATTTTATAACATCAGATTTGGGTTAATTATTAGTCCTTAAAATTTATTCACTCAGTCTTTATTGATATTTTTCATTTTATCTATTTTAATTTTAATTTGAAATTTAATAAGTTAGATATGTTATAATGTTAGTCTAAATTTTTATTTAGAAGGAAAAATAATGATTTTACAAGAGTAGAAACTATTAATTGGATATACGAGGTATATTGGTTAAGTCAAAGTATTTTCGTACATAATTCATGTTATTTTTAAATATTTTTACTAAACATATTAAAACTAACATGTAATATAAATATAGTAGTTTTTAACTACGACACAAACTCACGATAATAATACAACTGAAATCATTCTAAAATTGAATTACAATCATTTATGTTCTTTATAATCATTGTTTAATTCATCAACATAAAACGATTTAATGTTATCTGATATTTTTATAAATTGAAGTTTTTTTATAGGAATTCTTCAATAATTCGTCGAAAGAAAATTAAACGGTTGATGTGCTAATTCTATTATTTTATACTCATTATTACCAAAATATTAAGATAATTTATATTTATAATGTTTCCAAATTACATTTGACAAAATGCATGACCGTATATTGCTTCTTAGTTATCCGGTACCATTTATGTGCTACACATACTTTGTATTATATTGTCAGGTATAAATCAAAATTAAATCTTTTCTCATTATTTATTTTTGACATCATGTCTTATAAATATAAATGTATTAGTGTTTGTTACATGTTAAAATATTATAAATTCATATAATAGTTATTTTTACCAATATATTATTGGTCATGTGAAATATATTTAGAAACAATGTAAAAACAAATTACTTCACTTTTTGTTTGCCAATTTCTATTGCTAAACGCTTGGTTAACTCTAAGCTCTAAGTTGAAAACAAATAATTGTGACCGATATTTGACGGTCGCCGTTTCATTTAAACATTTTAATAACCAAAAACCTCTCGTTGACCCGAAATTTACAGTTTACAGGATTTTGCCAAATTCCTAAATATTAATTTCTCTGCATTAAAAATAACCTCTTTCATGCAACAATTCAAGCGTCCGACCATTTTTCGTTAAATATTACGTAATTATTCTGAAATCTGAAAAGCTGTTTATTTCCAGTAATTTTTAATTGTTTTTCGTATAATTTTTAACTTCGTATTTATTCATACAAATCTTTAAAAAAATACATTAATGAAAGTATCAGTGATACTTTACTAAAACCGAGAAAGTGCACAGTTAAATACAATGCGTTTATTTAGTTGTATTTCAAAAAAATTAATATGGTATTTGAAGCTATTTATTCGTTAAGCATACAAATATTATTTTTAAATTTAATATTGGCAATAAAAATATTTTGATTTGAAAATTAGAATAATAGAAATAATTGTTATCAGTTTAATGCATATGTAAACATATAATAACGCAGTAGTGATAAAGACATACAATAATTATAATTATTTGTAATTAGTTAATTACTAATGATTAATATTATTTTAGTCCAATTGTTTCACTCGAAAGGTTTAAAATATAACCTTAAACTAAATAAACTATAAATTTAAAAATGTTACTCGTCTGTTAAGGAAAGAAAAATTACACCACTTACAATAAAATGGGGATTTTACGAGGAAAACAATAAACGCGATGTCGTCAATACACACTTTCTCTGCCTCTCGTATGCATTGAAAGCAATAAAGCTAAGACATATCGTTTCCTAAATTACTGAAAAACACATTCATAAGTTACGAAAAATCATAGCAGCAGAAAAGGTTTCTTCCATAATTTTATCGTTTTTCAATTTACTATTTATACAGTCAGTGACCAACTATGAAATCCTCAATACTGTATTTCTTACTGTTACACGAGCTTAATGTTATTATATAATTAATATAATATTAATATAATATTAATATAACTATAATGTTAATAAAAAAAATTCGAACCAGAAATTTAAATAAGTATTCTTTGTTTTTAAAAGCAAGTTAAAATGAATGATATATATAAATTTATTGAAACTTTTTTAAATAAAAAATTTAAACGTGAATAACATTTTCGATTCAAACAAATCGATATTTTGTGTTTTTAATTATAAATGTAAGTTAACAGTACACCTCGATAAACTGTATCTTACATATTAATTTTTTAGTATACCCTATTATTACAAAGAAGTATTTAAAAATAATTCAAAACAATTAATTTACTTTATAATATTTTTTAATGGATGTTAATTAATTAACTATCCACTGTTGTCGGTATCTAATATCTAGATACTGTGGTAGTTTCAATTAATTTACATCAATCATATCAATAATTGAAGTATCTTAACGAATTTGATTGTTAAATTCTTAATTATTTTCATAAAAAGTTGTACATGTTTCACAATACTGTAATTTTAATTACACGCATTCGAATCAAAATAACTCCTTGAGTGATTGAAATAATAGTTTCATAAACATAACAGAAAGTTTTAACACACTATATATATCTATCAATATTTAGATTATACAATATTTAGATAGATAGAAACCAGTTGATATATCAAATTTTAAAATAAATAAAATTTACAGAAAAAAAATAGAATCATAAAAATAAATAAACTGTTACTTCTACATGACTGAATAAAACTTAGTTTCCAAATTATTAGGTACCTATACAATATGTATACCTATATACAATGTTTTAACTTTTTGAACGTATTATAATATTGTACATGCAAGCGTGAAATTATTGCCATATGAGAAACTATCAGTTTTTTTCTATATGTACAAGTATATTTATATACTATATGTATATTTATAATCTAAATATTTTAATTTGCCTTAAAAGAAATTTTAAAAATGAGGAAATCCAAAATTATTTCACAATGATTTCTCCTTTTTTTTTTCTTATACACTTTTTTGGTACAATCTAAAGTTTGAGCAATCGATTGTGCATTTAATGTTTTTCGTATAAATTAAAAATGATTTTATAAGAATAATTTAAAATTTACATTGGAATGTACATTTACAATGGAAAGCTGTAGAATAAATACTATTTATAATATAAGTATACTATTTCAAAAGATAAAAATAATAATATTAATAAGTAATAATTAATAATTAATTTATAATAATATTTTGTTATGATAATACAGACATTTTTATTTCAAATTAATGTATTTATATTTTAAATAATGAGTAGAATGTTTGATATAATTTAATGCATTTTATAGTAGTCATTGTATTTATAAAAAAAAAAATGAATCTATTAATAGTACCCATAATTTCCAATTTCAAAAAGTTACTTATAATCGTTTTTTTATAACCGTTAATAATTTTAGCCATGAAAAAATTGTAACGACTATGTAATTAAAAAAATTATTTCATTTTTATATTAATTAAACGAGTAATTTTAGGTTTTAAAATAGGTAATAGGTATGATAATTAATATTTTCGAACTTAATAAAAATTAACATAAAATAAATTAACTGAAATTATATCCATTCAATATCCGCCCAAAAACGTTTTTAAATTGGAATGTTTTATCACTATATTTAAAAATTTAAACACACCCACTCTAACTCTTCCAACTCTTATTCATTTATCCATATTTTGTATTTCATTTACTTTTTGAATTACATTTCAATTAAAATTATGTTTTTTTTTTTTTTTTAATCAGTGATTATTAAATGAACTGTCAATAATTTATAATAATTATGTACTTCATTTAACAAAGATCATATTTGTTAAATTAATCATATACTAACATAATTTTAATAAAATACTATATAAGCTATATACATAAGCTCAAATAAATAAAATACAAAACATTACAATCTCATAGATAATTTTATAAAATAAAAAATATATATAAGATGTC